GTACCAACTGAGCTAGGTCCGCAACTGCTTGTCCCACAGGCCTACTTTCAGCAGTCCGCGGGTGTACCAGCTAAGCTATGCCTGCAGGTGCTGGTTCCACAGGCCCATTCACACTCAGATTTCTCACAGCAGATTGCGGTTGGCGGGTGGTGCACTTGCAAAGTGCCCCCGCCACTCGGGCTTCTTCCGCTCCATGGGCTATGCACCCACCGACTCTCACGCATGTTGACCCCATCTGTTCGAGCACCAAGACGGGTAGGATAAAGCAACTTTGTTAGAACCCCGAATACGCATGACCTCGAACGGCACCGCTAAAAAAGGTGTTTGCTCGAGGTTCTCGACGGCCGTGACGGCCACTCGTGGGGAGGTGTTTCAATCGCTCCCTACTGTAATGTCGGTCACAACAGCCTATGCTGGCATGCGCCTCACGTACCGTCAAGGAGGTCGGTGATACAGTCGCCTTCCATCCCCGTTGAGTGGGGATACACGACTTTTCTCCTTCCGCTTCGTCGCTCAACAATCTTCAAATATTCTTTAACTCTCTTTTGAAGTTATTTTCATCCGTCCTCGCGGTACTTCGTCGTCGTCGGTTGCGGAGCCAGTTTCCGGTCTGGTCAACAGACGGAAAAATGGAGAAAAATAAAAAATAAAAATAACTCAACAAAAATAAAAATAGTAGAATTGAAGAGGACGAGGACCTGTCGACGCCCTCTTGGTCTTGCCAGTACGTCACGTTCCTTTGCTCCATCGCCGCTTGCTGACCTCGAACCCCAAACCTATCGCTTGAAAGTCCAGTACCGTAATCATTAGAACTAGGCCGCCGCCTTGGTCAACCTCCTGGCCGTCAGAAGATGCCGAGACGTCGCTCGTGCCTAGGATCATAACTATTTGGTATCCTGGTCGTCGGGCACTCAACATATTTTGTCGAACTTCCAACCTTTCCTTCATACTAGGTCTGCCAACGCCACGCCTTTCGACACGTAGTCCCACATAAACTTCCAGCATGTGCGAAAGGTAAAGTTTTTATTCCTCTTCGCGTCATGTCCCACCAGAGGCCGAACTAGTTGCGGAGTAAAGCTGGTCTTTAAAAAATAAAAGAAAAATATAATCAATACTAAAAACTACAGAAGGGAGAGTAACCGGGTTCTACGGCTTTGGCGTCATTTCGCCAGCCTAGTATTGCCGATGACTAACGACTATCTCACCGTGCAACGTGGTAATGCGCGCCCCACACATTTTCTAATCTGGCCATATTCGACTCAAAGTCTCGCCAAAAGCGAGGTTGCCGACGTGAGCGCCCTGAGGGGTTTTACCCCATCAGCGCGTTTCGTTGATCAAGGACGCACCCAGTGCGACCTTTGAAAAGGACAGCAAATACCCTTGTAAGGGTGTTTCCCACGACAGCGCGCGTACAGGAAACTCCCACACCACATGTGCCTTCGGCAGAGGTTGCAGGCCCATGCCTAGTTACCTGTCTAGAGACTACTTGTGTCAGTGTCTCTCTAGGCACGTCCCTCAAAGGCGTGGCAAAAGAGTTAAGGGAAAGGATGCCAGCCTGGTCCAAAATGAATGAAAGACAGTAAAGGGCAACTAGTGTTAGTGGATGTAGAAGTGTTCAGGAGTAGAGTAGGGGCCCTTATAGACTCAGGGGCCACCTGCAGTTACATTAGCCGTAGAGCGCTGAAAAAGTTGAGGCTAGGATTGAAAGTCCAGAAATTAGCAAACCCCATAGTTGGTGTCCTCGCAGACAACCGCACTATGTGTGTTGAGGACTACGTAGAGGGAGTCCAGGCGTACTTTCGCCTAGAGAAAGATGGGAAGGTGGAGAAAGTTCTCCATTCCCTGACTCTCCTGGTACAGGATGACCTTCCGTTTCACATAGTCCTAGGCATGGACTGGGGAGAGGCAGCAGGGGCCACACTCCACTTGAGAGAGCACGAGTGTAGGCTCCCTAGTCCGTCAGACAAGGTTGAGACAACCCGTTTGTTTCATGTGTCAGGAGTAGATAACTCACTGGCACATTGTTGTCTCAGTGCTCCATCGTTCGCGCGACTAGTGAGAAAGGAGCAGTTAGAGGATCAGGTCTTTGTAGTATATGTTAGACCTGTCACTGAGCCTAAGGAAGGGGATAGTTCCACAGATCCAGCCATTGCCAAGCTGCCCGAAGAGTTTAAAGACTTAGCTAAGTCGCCGACAGGAGTAGTGTCGTGGCCGATCCAGCACACGATAGAGATAGAGCCTGGCAGTAAAACTCCTAAGGGAGCCGTCTACAGGATGTCCCCTAGAGAGTTAGAGGAGCTACGCAAGCAGTTGGACGAGCTTCTCGAGAAGGGTTGGATTAGGCCCAATTCGTCTCCTTTTGGGGCACCAGTTCTATTTGTCCCCAAGAAGGAAGGAGAGTTGCACATGTGTATAGACTATAAGGGTCTGAATGCGATTACAGTCAAGAATGATGAATCACTGCCAGGATAGACGATCTCTTAGATCGGGTGCAGGGTTGTAAGTATTTCTCAAAGATAGATTTGAAGTCCGGGTATATCATCAGATAGAGGTCCATCCTGATGACCAGTGCAAGACTGTGTTCCGGACTCGTTATGGGCATTATGAGTTCATAGTGATGCCCTTTGGACTGACCAATGCGCCAACGACATTTCAGCGATGCATGAACGATTTGTTTAGGCCTTGGTTGGATAGATTCGTCGTAGTATATCTAGGCAATATCTTAGTTTTTAGTAGGACCCTCCATGAACATCAGGGTCATTCGAGGCAGGTCTTGGAGAAGCTGAGAGAAGCTAACTTCAAGACCAATGCGAAGAAGTGCGAGTGGGCCAAGACACAAGTCCTGTACTTGGCCACGTGTTAGACGAAGATGGGATTAAGCCAGAGGACAGCAAGATAGCGGCAATTAGAGACTGATCGACGCCCCGCACGTTGACAGAGTTGTGGTCGTTCCTAGGCCTTGCTAATTATTACAGGAAGTTTGTGAGGAACTTCTCGACTATCGCCGCTCCCCTTCGCAAGTTGCTTAAGAAAGAGGCAATATGGCAATGGGACAAAGATTTTACGTCTGCGCTGAAGAAGTTAAAGCGCGCATTGATAGAGTATTCTATCCTCAAGGTAGCAGATCCGTCTTTGCCATTTGTCGTCACCACGGACGCGAGTCAGTATGGAATAGGCGTCGTGTTGCAGCAGGACGACGGCAATGGCTATAGACCCGTAGAGTTCATGTCAGCGAGGATGCCCTCAGAGAAGGTTGCTACCTCGACGTACGAGAGAGAACTCTACGCTCTCAGGCAGGCTTTAGAGCACTGAAAGCATTACCTGCTTGGGAGGCACTTCAAAGTGTATTCAGACCATGAGACGCTTAGATGGCTGAAGACACAGGCCAAGATGACACCTAAGTTGACTAGGTGGGCCGCTGAGATAGACTAGTATGACTTCGAGCTCAAGCCTGTTAAGGGCAAGTACAATGTAGTTGCGGATGCTCTGAGTAGGAGATCATACTACTTTGGAGCTATAGTTCACTATTTGGACATAGGAAGTGACCTGCAAGAGAAAACTAGACAGGCGTATGCGCATGACCCTATCTATAGTGACCTCCTCAAGAAGGTTAAGGAGGCCCCAGAGACTGAGCCAGATTACCGCACTACAGAGGGGTTATTATTTGAGAAGACTGACGTAGTAGACCGCCTATGCATTCCCAACAGTGAGGAGATTCGCAGTCTGATCCTAGGGGAATGCCATGATACCGAGGGACACTTCGGTTGGAAAAAGACTTTAGCCAACTTGATGCACACATACACATGGCCAGGAATGAAGAAGGACTGCATAGAGTATGTCCGCAGTTGCAAAGTCTGTCAGAGGAACAAGACCACTACGCGTGCCCCTCTAGGTCGTCTCAGACCCTTGCCTATTCCATACCAGCCCGGAGATTCAGTCTCCATTGACTTCATGGATGCCGGTGTCAAGAGTAGGCACGGCAAGAGCCAAGTCATGGTTGTAGTTGATAGATTTAGCAAATATGCTATTTTTGTTCCTTTGCCTGCAGAGGCACGCACAGAGTTAGTAATACAAAAGTTCTTTGATTTTTGGGTTAGTGAGCATGGAGTCCCGTTGTCCATAGTTAGCGGACGAGATAGTCGCTTCACCAGCCAGAACTGGCAGGAACTCATGAGAATCTATGGGTCAAAGTTGTTGATGTCGTCTGGCCGCCATCCAGAGACTAATGGTCAGACAAAGCAGATGTACAAGATCCTGCAGCAAGTTCTGCGCATGTACATTAGACCAGATCAGATTAACTGGACGAGATGTTACCCAAGGTAGCCAGTGCATACAATAACAGCGTGCATTTATCTACCTGTCGCACTCCCAACGAGTTGCACAAGTCCTTTAGACCACGTAGACCGTTTGAGGGACTTAACCGGGATCAGATTCACAGGCTACCGCCCGGTACCAGGGAGTTCGCGATACAGCATGAGAAAAAAGCCACTGTTGTTGAGAACCTCAGGAAGGCCCAGCACCGAATGATAGAGCAGGCTAATAAGCACCGTCGCCCATCGCAGTTTCAGGTAGGCGACCTGGTCTGGGTCAAATCTAAAGAGTTTGCACCTGAGGAGAACATCTCGCAGAAGTTACTGCCTGCCTATAGAGGACCATGGCCGGTTCTAGAAGTTAAGGGCGGAGAAGATGGGCCGTCCTACACAATAGAGATCCCAGCACACCTCCACACCTACCCTGTGTTTCACGCATCAAAGTTACTGTCGTGTGTCACAGTCAACAGTTTCCCTCTAGACAGTCCATGATCCCTCCAGACATGGACGGAAAATATGACATTGACGGCATTGTAGGTGAAGATGTGTTCAGAACAGGAGGTAGAGGTCGTCCACAGAAGCAGTGTAAGGTCCGGTTTGCATATCAGGAACCGGAGGATGACCGCTGGTTCACGAGAGCAGAACTTCTAGAGACCGCTCCCAATGTAGTTAGAGCCTACGAGAGAAATCAGAAAGGTAAAGGTCCTGCCTTGGACTGAGTTATTCTCGGAGGACCTCGAATTTACGCCGCCGGGAGTGAAACGGTATTCACCAGCTCGCAGTAGCTGATGCAGATCCCAGGGCTCGATCCCTAGTCCCCACCTTACCTGTGTACAGTATCTGTGTCGACCCTCAGAGTTGAACCCGCGACCTGTGTATTGGTAACAGTCGGTAGGTTGTCATAGGGTCCATAGATAGCAGGGTTTCGATCTGTAGACCTGTCGAGTAGGAGTCCCAGTCAGGTCTAGAAGTCGTAGCTGTAGCTTTCTCGAAGAGTCAAGGTCGTAGCTGCTACAATCCAGAAAGGTCAAGGTCGTAGCTGCTACAGTACCGAAAGGCCAAGTCCACTGCCTTCCGGAAGGTCCGAGTAGTGGCCTTTCGGAGATTCCCACATTTAGGCTGAGGCAAGTGGGCAAGTGGTGAGGCAAGTGGTGAAGTCTACCCGTGCTGAGTCAGCAGTCCCAGTCCTAGGCAGTCCTGGTCCAGTCAGGCAAGTACCGCATGGGACTGTGTGCACTTCGGGCATGGGAAAGGGCCAGACCAACGAGCTGCAGAAGTATAAATCAAGAGGCAGCGCCCAGCCATTCATTCATTCCTGCGTGAGCCATGCGGACGCGCTTGCCACAGCGACTTGTGCGAGGTGGTCTGCACTGAGCCCGAAGACGAAGTGGGCAGAGAGACGAAGCTTGGCCATAACGATAGGGTAGCGGCGGCCATAGCTGCCATAGCTGTAGTTAGAGTTCAGTGTGTGAGTGTGTGAGAGTGAACAGAGTATCGTGTGTGGGATATCCAGGGTGATCCAGTGTATGCGAACAGAGAGTTGTGTGGGCGCTGTGTCGCCATAGCCATTTGAGGTGAACTCGTATCTGGGTTGCGTTCTCGGTTGCCATATCTCTGAGTACTGAGTGGGCGCATGTCGCCAGTTGCTGCGCTACTGTTTGCATCCATGTAAAGTGTGAATGAAAGCGAATCTGATTGCAAATACCTCAGACATGCAAATGTGGACCTCGCTGTCCACTGTGACCTCGGTTGTTGAAGAGGGGTTTAGCAGTCAATCTCACTCTATGCTTCAAACGCGCTCCTTGTAACACGGTTCCTAAATGCCTATTGACTATTCGTGTGAATGGCCATCTTCCACTTCCCTTCGACTTCAACTGGTTAGAACAAGCCGCAATGCCATCGAATGTGATGACCCCACTGCCTCTCTTCAGTATAAGCATAATGTTTATGGAGTCGCCAGGGATCTTGAGCAGATGATCACTTTTTTTTGCATGCCCTGCATGGGATGCACTTACACATGCATACAGATGTTCAAACCAAGTCATCATGTAAAATTAACTGGAAAATGTTACCAACCTGTGCACCTGCCTCGTGACTTATAGCTGTCCAGAAATAGAGCACGAGTTCAAATCTTGTTTGCTACAATAAGCTTAACCACCACTACCTCCCATCCTCTTTTTGCCGATCCTGAATTTCACTGTGTGCCAATCGGGTTCGATAGCGCCCAGCCCCCGCCGGCCTCCAAAGGATGCGGAGTAGGCTACTCTTGAGACTTAGTGTCACAGCCTGAAAGTTAGTGGTGGCTTAATAACTTTTCCTCCTTTTCTGCTTTTTTTCAGAACAAGTTCAGAGAGGCCGAGTCGAGGTGTAACCAACCTGCAACAGACAAAACTAAACTGTTCTCCATGGTCAACTTACTTCTGCTGTGCTGCCTCCTCCTCTTCTACAAGAGCTTGCTGACACTTCAGTGCTTCTGCTTCCTTATCAGCCATCCACGCTTGGACCTGAATTCACACCAGCACAGGATTGACCAGAAACACCTGTCATCGCCAAATTTCCTTGCTGGGTCTTAGATATTCATAATCAGGAATTTCGCCAAAAGTTCTCTTTCCCTTGCCACATGACATGCACCCATGTGCAGTGAATGAAGGACTTTCCACTTTTGCCGAAATCACTCATACAGCTGAGCTTCTGTGTCACTTACTCTGGGCAAATATAGGTTTCGACAAAATCATTCATATAGTTCATCTCTCACTGCAAGCAACCTGCAGTCTTACTACGTTGGCACTGTAGCATCACGGGGGGTCCAGGGATGTGCCCAGTACTTGCTCAGTTCGGTCCCTAGTGGAGTCCCATTAGTTTAAGGTCCAGTGCTGTTTAGGCAGTCTCAGGCAAGTCAGCGGCCCATGGTCCCAGGAAAGACGGGGAACATTCTGGAAACGTCAAAGACTGACAGACCGAACCCAACAAGCAACATGGCCTACTGGATCTTCGAGTCGAAGGTCTGGGAAGCTGAATTGTCGCATACAAAAACACAGCAACAGTGGCCATCAACATTCATTCCATTCATGCTTGCTGTGGAAACGCTGGTGCACTGTAGTGCGACCAAGTGACAAGTGGGACAGATGGTGAGGCTGAGAGCAGATGTGGTCAGTAGGCGCTGTCGGTCCGTATACCCGTACAAGGGTATCCGCCATTGTTTTTGTGAATGACAGTGTCGGCACGAATACCCTTACAAGGGTACTTGTGCGCATTTTTGCATCTCGCAGAAGATGCATTTTTGATGATATTCGAGAGAGAGTCCCATTTCTGCATGACCACAACCAACTCTCAGAAGTTGGGAATAGCAAGCACACATTTGATCGGATTAGAGAGTGTGTGGGCGTGCACTTCGAGGACACGCGTGGGTTTCTAGGCGAACGTCTGGTTATAAAGTGAACTAGTCGTGTGAGCAACACCCACGCCTAATAGCACGAGCGAGAGAAAGGTCATGATGTTGACTAGTATTGCGCATGCACTAAGTGCATGTGCGTCAAGACTGGCATTTGATGTTCAGGGTTGGTTAGTCATCAGAACCGTAACCCGGGGTGAATTTCGTTGGCTTACCTGAAACGGGATCCGGGTCAGCGTTGGCAGCTGCGTTGCATGAATCCCTAGGCTGACCATGGCCAACAGTAGGTTGAGGTCAGTAGGGTGTGGTATGTATGGAAGCCGGGGTTCTTTTTTTCGACGCCGAGGTCGGCGAGGTGGTAAAGGTACGGCTTTTGGAATGGTAGCCAATCGTGGGGTCCAGCATCCTTGGCCGCAGTGCTACATGGTAGTATGTGTGGTGGCTACCGGTAAGGCTGGCTCCTTCCGCCAGCGAGAGCGGGCATATAGCGACCAGGGGAAGCGGCCAATGAGCCAAGGTATGATCCTAAGTGTGGTCCGACGGGCCTAGGCCTGAACCGGATGCCTTTATAATGAAGTCTGGGCATCCTACACTCAGCCTTGGGCCTAGCACTATTAGTTACAGCAGAGAACTTCCAGCCTGCAGATCCGGGGATCAAATCCAACAGCCAGCGACGGGGGAGCGAAGGAGAATCTTGCGAGAGAACTAAGGGGTTCAGGGTCCCGTGGGACTATCGACCTTGGTTTTGCCGTGGAGTCCAGTCGTGGGCCTGGCGAACAGGACCACAGGGGAACCAACAGGTTCCTCTCTTTCTCCCCTGCTCTTTGGTTCCCCTTGTTAATTTAAATTTTTAGTATATTTTATTTTTATTTTTACTTTTGGTTCGTGGGCCGGTACCGGTCCTGATACCGGCGTGGGAGCCAAGAGCCTAGCTCAGAAGGTACACCCACGAACTGTTGAAATACGGACTTCAGCTCAGACTCCATTGGGAGTAAATGAGTAAAATACCGAATTGCCTGGGACAGATGAGCCAATGCTAGTATCTTTTGGGCCAAAGCTTGGGCCTGGTCCTCCGGGACATCCGTTAAAATTGGAGCGATACAGAGGAGATTAGTGTGGCACTTCAGAAGAAAAGTGGGCATGCTGGCGGAAGTTTCCTATATATCCACGTGTGTTGTCTTTCTTACTTAAGGAATGCGGTCGGTCGGGGTAGGTTGATAGTGCTTGTCTTCGACCAGGCTGTGTTAGCAAATGCCGAGGTAGATATTGGCGGTAAGTACGTCGACGCTGAAGGAGGACTCGGAAGCAACGAGCGCGGCACTGGGAAGGCCGGTGGGATTGATGAGGAGGAAAAGAGGCAGCGAGGAAGAAGGGCAGTGGTGGTGATAGGGGAGGACGAGCACACCAGTGGCAAGGCAGCGTCCGAGAAAGGTTGATGTCAACGAGGGAGAAGGGTAGAGGAGTTGGGTGACAGTGAGGAAGAGGTGGAGAGGGAGAGAATAGGCGCCAACCTCCGTGTGATGGTGATGTAGGGTAAACTGGAGGTCAAGGGGCAGCGCCTAACCACGCATTGGCCTAATGGGAGCTTGGCAGTGTATCTTTCCGAATTCTGACGGAAGATTCAATCTCTTTCGCTAGTTGGAAACAGGTGCCGCAGCAAGGGAGTCAACACAAGAATCTTCCCCTGTTCTAGGAGGAGATTCATTCGCCTTCTGCACATTTGGTGGATGATTGTTGTAATCATCGCGTGCATTTGCCTTGAGGTCACGGGGATCAGGGTGAGGCGTCATTTCCCCGATCCTGGTTGTCTTCTTCGAAACAATTGGGCATATCCACTCCCGACGACTCATGGGCAACCATAAGGTGACTTACCGGAGTAGGATACGAGAGGTGCAGAAGGGAGAACGACGTGAAGGAGGACGAAGTGGAGAAAGAACGCAGAAGAGGGAAAAGGGGTCGAGGCGATTACCAGATTCAGAGAGCCTGATCGTGATCTTTCGCACGGTCTCCTTTTTCATGGTGTGTTCTTCTTTCTCGAACCATCATCGTTTTTCATTGAGTCTGGGTCGTCCTCATAAGAGTAGCCGAGCCTATCGTGGTGGTCGTCTTCTTCAACTATTGTGATCCAACTGCCCCATTATCAAGCTCGGTTCCCAACGATCGATGTGCCTGGCCACCTTGAGATGGAGTGTGTACATTAAATTTGCTCAGTACATGGCGCAGCGGAGCAGGGCAGTGATCCGACCACTATAAGCCAGAAAGTGAATAAGCGAGGGAAACCGTGGAAGGAGGAGTGAATGAGCTCATAAGAGACGAGTCGGGAGAGAGAGAAAGAGACTTGTTTGGTTGATTGGCTGGTGTTGCGTTGTGGTGTTTTTTTTTTTCTGGGTTTAAAATGAACTCGTGGACAGTAGGATGAACTCGGCCTGGGATATTAGCTAGATGCAGTAAAATAGAGGAGTAAAGGATTCTAAGAAAAAGAGGGCGCGGAGGGCTAATACGTGTCTGCAAGAGGTGGAGAGTAGAGGTGTATCTTCTCGTGTTTCAGCGGAAGATTCATTCTCATTTTGCACACTCAGGAAGTAGCGGGGCATGTGCGTACCTGGCTACGATCCATCCACGCATCTTTCCATGCTCCAGCAAGAGATTCATTCTCGAATTGCGCATTTAGGCATGGGGACAGTCTTTTTTTCAATCGTCTGGTCTCGATCACTCTCTTATAAACCTGACGGTACGCGTCATTGCGATTGTCATCCTGCTCCAACTTTGCTCGCTGTTGAGACCCCGACAATGCTCACCCTCGTGTGTGTCGTGGTGGTGGTGGTTTGGGTACGGGTAGGACTTGTCGTGATTCTTGTGCCTGCGCTACCCTTAATCTTTGTCCGACGCTGTCTCGCCACCTTGTTGAAGGCTTTTGTCTAGGACCTAGAGGTATTCACGATCACAGAGTCCCATGAGAGAGAGAGGGAGACGGGAGAGTGGGTTGTATACTAGGAAGGTTGTTGAAAGAAGTATGCACTAGGCGACATATATCGACCAGGTAAACTGGGGAATTAAAGGCAGTGTATAGGTTCATGTTGGCGACATATTCCCACGGAGTCTGTCTGAAGGTTCTTTCCTCATAGGCATGTGTGCCCCCCTACACTCTAGGAGTGGATTCAGCAGTTGCAGCGGATCGTGGTGGTTACCACCTCATTTGCAGGGGTTGACTTCGGTACTGACACTGCCAGCCTACAATTACGTTGGGTGCGAGGTCAAGTGTGTCATACCTTTTCCCTTTGCAGTAGTCTTAGTTTCAGCCTTCCCACGTAAAAACTACCTTCTCCCCCGAGAGGTTATTATTTTATGTGGGCAGCAACCGCAAGCTTTAAGGTACTGCTGCTGAATTGAACATCGGTACTGCCATTTTTGCTTGGGTTACTGTTCCTATGGCAACACCGACATGTCGTTCCTCGGGTGAGAACAGACTGCTGTTTGGAGTCGAATTGCTGGGGAGGGTTGGATGTTGCAGTTGGGATCGGAGTCTCGAACTAGGACTGTTTTGCTGCTAAGCTAGGAAGGTTATCCCTGCAGGCGGAATTTGTTTTTTTTGTTCGGGGGTGTGGCGGTGGTTGAGATTTCAGGGCATGGAGTGAGGCAGATGCTGTCTCGTTGCGCTGCTGTTTATTGTTGGGTGCTGCTGCTGCACGCAGCTGTTGTGTGACACCGTGCCTTGCTGAGGCTGTTGTGTCTTGCTGATCTTCGTTGGGTCTTGCTGCGGAACTGCGTAGTGCTTCGCGACACATTTATACGAATAGTCATGGTTCATTACACTTGCGGAGCTGGTTACTGAGGACTGCTACCTTGCTTGGTTACGACGTGCAACCGCTGAGCGCGACACAGTTCCTACCGAGTATTGTTGAGTTTCACGTGCTCACTGAATAGAGTATGGAGATATGCACCAGTCAGACGCAGCCCTCTCTAGGCTGCATAGCAACATTCTGGTCAAGGGAACGGTACTGCGCCTTTGGGAAAGGTGACCAGACTCAGCAAAAAAGGCTCGTCTGATGACTGGTATTTCGCACTCAAGCCGGGAACTGGCCATCTTCACTGCGCTATTGGCTGCCATTGTGGGGCCCTCAGATGATTGAAGATCTCAAGGCCCTCTCACGCGAGTTGAGTTGTCCCATGCGTGTATCTCGAGCGTTTGAAACCCCTCCTTCTTTCCTTCTTACTCTTAAGTCTAATCTGAGGTTACTAGAGGAGGCGGGATTGCAACCTGTAGGGCTGCATCAAGACCTTGTGGGAGGTCAGCAGACCGATTGCAGGAGCTCTACCAGAGCCCAGGCGGCATTCTGGAGGCAGGAATCATCCAGGTACATGATTGTTTTACTCGTGTGATCCCATCCCCTAGACTGTAGTACCCCCTATCTATGTGTCTGAGAGTATATCGAAGAAAGTTATTTACTTTGGTTCATTTTTACTCTAGGACATGATATGAAAGCTTCAATTAACAACTATGTATGATAATTCATATTAATTGTGTGAATTCAGTCAGAATGAATAGGGGAAGGCGGGAGGAGGGTCGTTTTGCTTGCATCTGACCGGGTCAACCAAAGGCTAAGTCCATTCTAAGTGCGTAGACTCAGTGTTGTGTTTCTTTTTGTATGATGGGCTTCTTGCTTGACTTTCAAAGGATGGAACGCTCCATAAGTTAGACTGCCTGGTCACATGTTTATTCTTGGGGATTCTGAATGAAGAATGAATATAAGCGAGGCCAAAATATAGAATGTGACATATTTATTTATATATTATATCATTGGCAAGCTAGAAGCCAGAAGTTGGGAGATCTAGCCGTGTAAACAAGTAGCAGACAAAGCAGAAAAAGAAATAAGATTCGGAGTATAGAATTGGAAGCTAACTTTGCGTAGGCTGACTTATCCATAAGTTGGGTAGTCTGTCTTATACCCACGACAACATAAGACGTAGACAGATGATATAAAACTTGGCTAGGTTTCTAAACATAACTGGGTTGGTTGGGATCTCTATAAGTTGGAGTGACCTGACCATCTGTTAGAAGTGAGAATGAAGGTGTGATCTTACTTCTTGAATGTAGTTGTGTTGCGGAGACTGAGCGAACCCATAAGTTAGTGTTCTGCCATACGCACACGTTGTATGTCTAGGCAGGATTACCCATATGTTGGGTAGCCTGGTTTTCTGCTATTTATCATTGTTTCGGTTGGATGGCCACACCATAAGTTGGTGTGTACTATTTATACGCCTTTTGT